AATTTACTAGAAATTGCCCACGCGTTGCATGAATTTAAAAATAAATATTGTATAATATGCAATAATTTTTAGCTTATTAACAAATTGTGTATTTAATATTACATAAATTTGATGTTTATAGTAAATAATTACCTAGATTAGAAGATTAAACACTTGTAGCAAATTATTGGACATATACAATGTTATATATAAAAAAAATAGACATTTCATAAAACTACAACATATAGAAGACATCTTCTTTGACACAAGTCTCTAACTTGTATGTCTTCATCAATATTCACTACGATTCCCTAAAAAATGATTTATTGTATTTTTATTGCATCAAACACATTTATAAAACAAATTATTGATTAAAGTTGTAATATGATTTTGATATACCTTGACATATGCATCATCTCAACAAAGATGTTGGAATGTATTTGTGTTTATTTCAATGGAATTTTGAATCATATTGAGAGAATCTTATATAATATTTTAAGGTTTTTCAAAAGTAAAGTTATGAGAGGCTGCCATATGACACCCATTCTTTTGGTATTTGGCATTTGAATTATCAATTGAAAAGAAAAATAAAAATTTTGTGTTAATAACTTGACAATTAATTCCAACAGTTTAATGGCTAATTTCAATATTAAATGTGTTATTGTGAATTTTAATGGTTTGAAAAATAGTTATTTTATTTGTTAAATCCAAACAATATAATATACAAAAAATGTTTAAGACTTTTATTTTTACATAGGTAATTGTGATTTTGTTTTCTAAAAAATCACAAAATAGAAGCTTCGATAACCTAGCATGAACAAAAACAAAAAAAAATGCTGTGAAAAAATTAAGATATGATTTTAAGATTTTTAAGATTGTTAAAGTCTGATTGGAGATATTCATAACTAAATTTTTTTAGTCTTTACACCTTCTAAAACCAATTTTCTAACTACCGATTAATGAAATTAATAAAATTTGCTGTGGACATTATTATTAATTTGTTTATTATGATATTGTTAGTAAAATCAAATGTTATTGGTTTGATGACTTTTAAAATTTATTCAAAAATACTTGTTATTAAAAAAATTTAGTTTTATTAATTCTACATTCTATTAAAATATAGTGTTATTGGGAGATTGATTCCTTATAATTTTACTCATTAAAAAAAACTTTCAAAATACCTAGTAAAACCATTGGGTTATTAAAAATATTATAAAAAACTATTTAAATACACACAACTCTCTATAAATTTAGTAAAACTTTCAATTTTAAAAATCAACGAACACTATGAGAATCCAACTCCCAATAAGTCCTTCTAGAATCTAAATCTTGTAGGAAGGTAACC